AGCTTCAAATTAGCAAGATAGATTTCTCTTCCTAATGATTTTAGATACCTGTAAAGTCCAAATTAGTCGTTATTTTAAATTTAACCTTTGAACAAATTAAATTATTAATGTCACCAATGACACATGCCAAATTTAAAATAGACAAATTGTGTTCTTTCTGTTAGGATCGCACAATGCACACACTCTAGATGAACAAAAAAAAAAAAAAAAAAAAAAGAGAGAGAATGTAAGGAGGTCTCTGGCTAAATGATTTGTATTGATGAATATGTATAAGAGAGAATACAGATAATAGAAATACATTTTCAAAACTATAAATAAGAGAGCAGACTCCACGACCTAACACTAATTATGGACCATTTGTGCAATAAGATGAAAGTTAAAGTACTAAAAAGAAATATATCAATATTATGTTGTTTTAATTTTATATGTATTCATATGCATTGAAATTGTTAATTAATAGGTTGAATAATGCAAAAAAAAAAAAAAACCATCCAATTATTGCACATCTAATGATTGGGGAATCTTACACAAAATTATTATTATTATTTTACTTTAATATTCCAAAGTACCAAAAACTAAGAAAAAAATAAAAAAGAAAATACTTTATATCTATTCTCTTTAATTTATTTAAAATACATTATGACTTATTATATAATATTAACATAATTATTATATTTACAATGCCCACAAAAGCATTTATTTATTTTACTACTTTCTTGGTGACAAAAGTTAAAATAAATAGCTTTGAAAAAAGTAAAAAGCTAAAGTAATTCTAGAATTTACCATTTTTTTTTATTAATTAGAAAAAACAAAAGTTGTAATTTAATCATCAAGAATATTTCTAAAAGGAGGTTTGAAAAATTGTTTTAAATGACATGTTATGTTATTTTTAATTAATTCAATTTTAATCCCAAGAACATCTCTTTGAAATTCTACTTATAAGCTTAGATCAAGATCTCGAAGTGTAACGACCCATGCCTAGAATCTGGCACCTGTGTGCTCCAATATTTTCCTGCATCCATGTGATGTCCCACATTGGTTGGGGAGGAGAACAAACCATCATTTATAAGGGTGTGGAAACAGGACAATATCTGCTAGCGGTGGATTTGGGTCATTACAAATGGTATCAAAGCCAGACACTGGACGATCTGCCAGCCTTCTCGCTGTTCTCCGAAGGGGGGTAGACATGAGGCGGTGTGCCAGTAAAGACGCTGGCCCCAAAGGGGGGTGAATTTGGGGGTGGTCCCACATCGATTGGAGGAAGGAAAGAGTGTCAGTGAGGATGCTGGGTCTCGAAAGGGGGTGGATTGTGATGTCTCACATTGGTTGGGGAGGAGAACAAACCACCATTTTTAAGGGCGTGAAAACCTTCCCCTAGCAGACGCGTTTTAAAGCCTTGAGGGGAAGCTCGAAAGGAAAAGCCCAAAGACCATCCCCACAGACCAACACGAGTCCTTATCTTCACTCACATACATCTCAGCTCCAAGTAAAGCGCACTTAACCATAGAATTCTTATAATTGAACCACCGAAAAAGAAAAGTGCATCTTTATCTTCACTCACATACATCTCAGCTCCAAGTAAAGCGCACTTAACCATAGAATTCTTATAATTGAACCACCGAAAAAGAAAAGTGCATCTTGTACGGATTACGATATCGTAGTGAAGCCATAGGATCAAAACTAGGACAATTGCATTTATGATTAAATTGTAACCTTTAGGTTAGATCAGAGCGTTTCCGCTCCTTTGAGTTTTTGTTATTTTGTTTCCGCTATTTCCTTGATGGTTACTTTTATTTGAAATAGATTTTACGAACATTTAAATCCACAACATTGTTTACGAAATATTTTAAAGAAATATTTCCGTGCATATTAGACATATTATGCATGCAACGACCACCTTAAGAGGTTGATGTACAATCATGCAAGTACATGATGAAATTGAAAATTCAAATTATCTATTTTTTAAAAATTTAATATATTACCCGACAAATTAATGATTATGAGAAAGACCATTTAAATAAAAATTAAAAATTTTGCAATATTTAATTATATCATATTGATAAATATGGATAATTATAGAAATGGCGGCAGATATTGTTCTTTAGGGCTTTTCCTTTCGGGCTTCCCCTCAAGGCTTTGAAACGCGTCTACTAGGAGAAGGTTTTCACACCCTTATAAATGGTGGTTTGTTCTCCTCCCTAACCAATGTGGGACATCACAATCCACCCCCCTTCGTTGGGGATGGGGAGGAGATGTCCCACATTGGCTGAGGAGGAGAACAAACCACCATTTATAAGGGTGTAGAAACATTCCCCTAGCAGACGCGTTTTAAAGCTTTGAGGGGAAGCCCGAAAGGGGAAGCTCAAAGAGAATAATATCTGCTAGCGGTAGATCTAGGCAGTTACAAATGGTATCACAGTCAGGTTTCTCGCTGTTCCCCGAAGGGGGTAGACACGAGGCGGTGTGCTAGGAAGAACGCTGGGTCCTGAAGGGGGTGGATTTGGTGGCGGTCCCACATCGATCGGAGGAAGGAAAGAGTGCCAGTGAGGACGCTGGGCCTTGAAGGGGGGTGGTTCAGGGGTCGATTTGGTGGTAGTCCCACATCGATTGGAGGAAGGATAGCAAAACACCATTTATACGAGTGTGTAAACCTTCCTCTAGCATACGCATTTTAAAGCCTTGAGGGAAAGTCCAAAGAGGACAGGGAAAGTCTAAAGAGGACAATATCGGTGAATCTAGACCATTACAAATAATAATAATAATAATAATACGTTGGGAGGAAAAGGAGAAATTCTCTCGAGGAGGGACTCATGTCTGATTAGTTAATTGGTGAGACAAAACTTACCAAGTCGTTAACGATCAGTAGTTGGTTCGAGAGGCTAGTCAGCCACACTGAGATTAAGATACAGTCTAGACTCCTACAGATTGTAGTAGTAGTCTGATAGAGTAACCTCGTGTGGAGGTAGATGGTACAGTCTAGACTCCTACAGATTGTAGTAGTAGTCTGATAGAGTAACCTCGTGTGGAGGTAGATGGTCTACAAGATCGTGAACTTCTCTTCGTCGGCTAATTAAATAAATAAATAAATAAAATAAAATAAAACAAATCATTGAAAATTCTCCACTCATGCTTTTTAGTTGCCTTTCGGCAGGAATCTAAATACTATGGTTGGTTTTAATTTATTTAAATAATAATAATTAATAACAATATCATGTTGGGTTTTTTAATATTCGCCAATTTTAAATCATTAGATTTTTTTTTTTTGCTCATTTGATAATTATTGAATTTTTTTTATAATTAAGTTTAGAAATATTATTTTTATTTATATTTTGCAAAAACCAAATTAAAATTTGAAAACTAATAAAATAGTTTTTGGAATTTAGTTAAGAAATTAATTTTTTTTTAAAAAAATAAAATAAAATGTATTGTAAATAGTGAAAATAAATACAATTTTAAAAAATTAGTTTTTTTAGTTTTTAAAAATTAAATTTTAATTATTTTCAAAATTTTAATCTAACAAAATAATTAAATAAATTATATACATAAAAATAGTGTTTAATTTTTTTAAAAAAATTCAAAACTATATGGATAAATGAAAGTAAGAAAAGTGTAAATCTATTAATACTCAAAACATCAAGAGGATAAATCCAAGTCCAACACGAGACAAATTTAGGTCAACACAAAATAATAAAACCGAGCATAAAATAGGAGAAGAAATTACGCTTTGCCAATTTCACCCTCGATCTAAGCAAGAGGCGATCAGTGCCACACAATCGCTGTCCGCAAAGTCTAAATTTCTAACGACTAACATGTTCGTTGGGTTAGAACACGTGCTGCACAATCATTGTTCCGCTACTGTAAGAGTGCAATTGTGATACCGTGCATGCACCTAGCTCATTGAATACGTGTTCAATCTGGTCATGTTCATCTCTAACTTAAGCACCGAAACTCGTGTGACAAGCCTTGTATCAATATTCAATGTTGGGTCAACATCAAATCAGTTAATAAGGTAAAAAAAATAGGGTCAACTAAAATAACTTGTATTCATCATAAATTTATACAAAATTTAATTTTTAAAATTTTAATTACGGGTTTGAATTTCCAAATTTGCCCTCATACCCTTTGTAATAACATTTATAAAATAAAATATTTTCGTCAATTAAATGAATATCGACTCTTTTGACCCGACACGGTAGCTAAATGACAAAAATAAACCGACATCTAGGTTAAATTTCTAAGTTTAACTTTTTACTCATTAGGTTAAATTTGTAAGTTAAAATTTTTTACTTGTCCATCAATTTTTTTTTTTTTTTTTTTTTTTTCTGACTTAAAAGATCATATGATCGAATCTGCTAACCCGTCTTTTTTAAATTGAAAATTATTGAAAATTTTCTAGACGAGCTCAATAGACTTGATGTTCTAAATTTCAAACTAAATTTGTAAGTAAACTCAATAAAAATAATAAAAATTATATCTAATTATCGATTTAAACATATCTCAACTGATTAAGACATCATTATCGTCTATCAAAAAATAAAAAATTTGAATCTCCGAACTAAAAATACGTACGCTCGGGATTGGAGTAACTCTTGTGTATTCATTATGGTTGGTAGCAAAGGTAGTAAGCATAAGATGTTGGAGCATAATGTTTTTTAGAACAATATTTTTCCCAAAAAGACAGAAAATTGCTTGTTCTTGTGTCATGTTCTTCAATAGAGATTGACATTATTAAAAACACTGTCTTTTTCTTCTTTATGTCCATTAATTATTTATTACCCTTTTGAAATGATCACTGTTTATGCAGGATTTCTCTCTCCTCTATATCACCCATTAGGGTTTTCTTTCTCTCTCTCCTCAGATGTTAATAAAGTTTGCTCCTTTCTCTCTCTCTCTCTCCCTCTCTCTCTCTCTCTCTCTCTCTCTCCCTCTCTCTCTCTCTCTCT